AGTATTCTTGTTCCTCCTACTTTTCATTCAAAAATTATATACATGCCCAGTCTTACCTTACTTTCTCCTGAGAAAACTGCTACACAAAACCCACATACTACTAAGAAATATCATAAAATTGTTAATGTTTCTGCAAATCCTCAACCCAATTCTCCTGACAACAATAGTGGTACTACCCCTGAAGATCTTCCATCTTCTTAATATCTTTATTATTTTCATCTTTTTCCATATTTAATTTCTTTTACTTCCTGTTTTTTTTTTTTTAATCTTATTTCTTTTATTTACTTTTTATATTTATGTTTGTTTTATTTTTACTCTATTCCTTTCTTTATTTTATTCTAGTTATATTAATGATTATTTTTCTTCTTACTTTATTTGTTTCATTGTCCTATTATAATCTATTTTATTTTATTAAATTTTCATCTCTAATTTATTATGTATTACTCTAGCTGAGCCCCTGTAAATTGTAGATTTTCAAGGAATGTAGCTCATTGTTGCATGGTGAAAAGCCCTAACTGTCCTACATGTACATTTGACTCGCCATAACTTTAAGTATAAGTAAAAAAAAAAAAAAAAAAGTAAGAAATTCTAAAAATACTTTATCAACCAACAGCACAAGCTTTTTTTACTTATCAATTAAATTAAACATGTAATAAGATAAGAATTATAGATAGAGAATAGAGTAGACTTGAGAAAAAAATATACAAGAATTTTAGGCTTATTAGCTTAATTCTTAAAGAAATTCTAGAAAAAGAATATCATATTAGAATAATTCTAACATAAGACAATATTAGAGTGCATACTGCTAGGATTATAATAAAGTAACATAGTTAGAGGAAGGTGACTTGAGCATAAAAGTATTAAAGAATCACTTACTAAATTCACCAATTCTCAATCCTATTAAACAGGTTTAAACATGCTACAAGAAGCTTTACAATAAATACTTTACTTACTTGAATAAATGAAGTAGATTAGAAGAAAGGATAAAACTGCTAACAGAGAAGACTCTAATTTATTGTTAAGAGTTATTGTAACACTTAACTTTTTATTTAAAATATTAGTAGAAGATATTTCTATGAGAATTTATGCATTATTATATTAAGGCAAAAGGGTGGCATACCAGTACTAGATATTAATTTGATATTTCAGATTTATTCTTTTTTATTCCATGATATCTATCATAATCTAGAAAAAAAGAAGAAAAAAATCACAGCTCCAAGCACATCTAAAATTATATCGGGGGTAAAAAGTTCACAAGCGACAAGCAAGTGTATGCTGCCACCAAGCCTGACAATACAATGATTACTGTTATCACTGAACTCCAGTATACAAGTGCAAAATAAGCAGAATCCGTGCAACAAAGCCTTCTCGCCCAGCTGTTGTAGAGGCTCAGGAAGTAAGTCACCCTAGCTACAAGGCCGGCTGGTCGAATTGGTCGCACAACTTGGAACTGAGGCCTGATGATACTGAAGGCTTGGCCCTAGCCTGGCTAACAGTATTCGGCATAACCGCCCTCGGCTTACTCTGTTGGGTGACACATAAATAGAGCTATTTGTCAATACACATTCAAAGGATCGGATACTGTATCTCACCGCCACACTGTACTACTGTATGGTGTACGAGCTTGGCGACAAAAGAAACTGACCCCCAACACAAAAATCGCGGGATCGCAACAACAACGACCACCACTATTGCATGATAAGAAATGATAGAAATATGGAACAAAATAGAGTAGAGAGTAGAGAAGTTAAAGTTCAATTTACATGATTACCATCTGGTTTGCATCCCACCACGCTCCCGCAATTCCACAATTCTCTCCGGCATACTATCTACATATTGGTTAAAGTCAGCAGGCCGTAGCCGATCCCACTCTTCCTGCACTGCTTGCCTCATTTCATGAACCGTTCCGGGAAAGTGAGGTCTTGCTTTAATGCGCTGCTTCATAATCCTCCACACGTTCTCAATGGGATTGAGGTCAGGAGACTGAGCCGGCCGATTATGGTTTGGAATACCCAACTCTTTCTTTGAGTCCTTCAATGCCTGTTTGACCCCATGCCATGGGGCTGCATCCTCAATATATTGACCCCAGCAGGTGCCTCCGAGTACCCTTTCTGTCCCTGAAATGCCGGTCCCACCACCGGTTTCAATACCTGTTCCAAGTAATCACTACAAGTGATTCCCCTCTTTCCTGTCCCCTCAAGAATGACCAGCTCTGACTTCCAGTTGTGGCTAATAGCGCCCCACACATTCACTGAACTCCTACCACTACGGAAGGTATGTTGAATGCAGTCGTCGTGGTAGCGCTCGCTTTGTAACCGTGTGACCCATTGAGAACCACGTTTGGACGTATCAAAAGTGCACTCATCAGAGTACATGTGGCCGCACCACCACTGTTTTGGCTTTTGAACGTGCTCGATAGCATACTGAAGGCGATCTTGCTGACAGGCTTTAGAGATGTAGGGCTTTTTACAGGCCTTACACCGTGTATAACCCTCGTTTTCAAGTGCACGCTGCACTGTTCGACCAGAGACGTGGAGACCAGCTTCCTTTCCTAACCGAGCCCAGGATAGTCTTCTCCCCTCCCATCCGTTTCTGAGAATCCGAATTAGAAGCTGGATATCGTGTGTGTTGAGGGATTGTGGGCGACCAGAGCGAACTTTGTTGCGGCGTTCTTGTGGATCACGAGCCCAGTTGACAATGGTTGATCGCGGTACACCGGTCCTTCTTGAGGTTTCATGTTTAGAAAAACCAAGGTCCAATAAAGTAAGGACTCGCGACCGCTTAGGGGTACTCCAGTGGGGTTCTGATTTGTCTCGTGGTGGTGGAGTAGCCATCGAAGTCTGTGTAGTAAAAGTTCTTGATGGCTTGGCGAGGGGTCGGGGGTCAGTTTCTTTTGTCGCCAAGCTCGTACTTGATGCCAATTACTTCGATGAAGTGTCGGACAACAGGCAACACCCGAGGAGGTAGCGGTGAGCAAAGCTCACCACAACTCAGGGCTTTAGACCAACAATCACTTGAAGACAGGAAAGGATCTTGGATGCATAGATCCCGGAGAAAATGGAGAGGCTCTCTTTCTCTTCTGACTACTGTACAGTACTGTCCCCTCTTTAATGCTTGCTTATTTTAAAAGTACAAGTAAAAACATATATCACATTACACTTGTTTTCCCATACTTATTCTGAGTGTGCAAGAAGTAGTCTAGGCCATCCCATAATTCATTTAATGTGGGGCGGGACCATTGCGTGCTCAAGTTCTGATGCAAGGTGTACGGTACAAGCTTGGCGAGAAGAGAAATCGACTCCCAGCCCATTTTCTGAGCCATCACCAACTCTTACTGCCCTTAGACTGCTCCAATTGCTACCCCAATTCCACAAGACAAACAGCTCCCCCACTAGATGCTCCTAAGTGCTCCCAGGCACTTACACCATTGGACCTGGGGTTTTCTGGGAATAAAGTCTCAAGGAGAACTAGTGGAACAGTTACTCAATTTACTATTGCCTACCGGTGCCCGGATCGAGATACCCGGCCGTCGCATACTACCAAAATTCTGAGGTTCTGGCCAATCCTTGTGATATACAATAGCAGCCCGTTCTAAAAATGTCACGACATTACGGGAAGTGTCTGAACGTACCCGGAGAAATCGTACTGTTTCACCTTGGTGTTGGCTAGCTAGCATGGCCGCAGCGCCTATCCCAGCATGTATGGGCTTCGGGGTGAGAGGGCGGATACCGCCTTACGGCCCTATGGCCATGCCGGGAAGGATGCGCCCCATCCACCCACCTGTGCACCCGAGTATGATAGGCTATTTTTTTAATTTTAATTTTCCCTATTGTTCTTCGGGGAGGCTATTCGGCCTCGCGGTATAGAAGACTGCCTGTGAAGGGGGGGCTTATGCGGAATTTTTCCGCCCGAGTGATGAATCATGTACTGATGCTTCTGTCAAGGATGGGGGGACTTGGGTATGTCCAGAAAAGGATATTGAATAGTACCCAACACCACAAAGCTCCAACATCCGCACCTGCACGATGCCTATAACGCAACTATTCAAACACTAACCCCCTCTAGCTTATCCACGACCAGCATACCCACCCGGGTACTAAAGCCTCACCATCGATACCAACTGTAACATTTCACTGTTACCCTATTCCGCACTCCGCATTTCTCCATATACCAAGACTTTGCTCCGTCCCATGATACATCTGCCGTACGGTGGGACGTAGTAGGATATAGTTCAAACAGTATCTAGTACGCACAGGCGGGCGTGTGGGTACGATTCAAGATCGTTGGTCGGAATGGACTGAGCTAATGCTAATAGGGGTTAGGCTAGGTTGGTAACTGCGGCAATGTATCGGTAGCATGTGCTAGGCTATCGCTGCGGGTGGTGTTGTAGCGTAGAGGTTGCAGTTGATGTTGTGTGGGAAAGATGGTTCCCGCTGCAGGGCCTAGAATTGCTCGAGTAGGTAATGACATTAGTCGGGATGTGGGCGTCATTGAAGATCACTCGGGCCAGATTGCAACCGGAATCATCATGGAAGTTAAAATGAGCATGAAGTCCTTTTTGTTACGAATTGGACAGTTTTGTTGTGCAGCGGAAGATTCTTGATTAAGTCTTACAGCTAGCTAAGCGAAACAAGAACGGTATATATAGTCAAGCCAAACCCAGTCACATGACTAGTGATACGGAATACACACTTCCACGTACCACCCAGTACAACCCAGCATACGCAATAGTGAGCAGGAAGCCTAAGCACTTCTCTCACGACACATCAACCCAGAGGAGTAATTCTCAACACTTTTATACATGTCCCCACTACGCCAATTGGTCACAGCGTTAGCGGGTGTTCAAGGGGGGCTTTCTAATATATATGTATATATATATTTTTCTATAAACTCGAAAAGAAAAGGAAAAAGAAAAGGAAATGAACACTGAAACATAGACAGTCGTTAAAATGCACGAAGCAAAGGGGGAAAAAATTGTGCCCCACCCCCCGGGTGCAGGATCAAACAGTATTTACAACCCTCCTATCACTCCACTTCCACCTCTTGCCCGTCAACTTCATAACCTCAACCAATCCTAACAACACGGGCACCTCAATCAGCGGCCCGACCGTGGCCGCCAAAGCCTGGGGCGACCCTGCCCCATAACAAGCAACGGCGACCGCAATCGCCAGCTCAAAATTATTACTCGCGGCCGTCAAACTCTGCGTAACGGTAATGCTGTACCCCCACTCGCCCAATCCCTTGAACGTGCCGCTTCCGAAATACCGACAAGCGCATAGCGTAGCGCAGAATATGAGGATGAAGTAGACGATCAATGGCGCGCTGACTCGAAGAACATCTGTGATCTTACCGACGATGTTGCGGGACTGCGAGGCGAAGAGGACCAAGATTGTGAAGAGAAGGCCGATCAGGGAAAGAGGGGCGATCCAGCGGACAAAGTTTTTGTTATACTTGTTAACGTCCCCGCTCAAGAGAACACTTAGGACTAGGTACCGGGTGATGATTGCAGCTACGAGAGGGATACCGAGGAATACGGCTACTGAGATTGCCACGGTATCGTACTTGATCCCGATGCTGGAACGGGAGATCACGCTAATGTACAAGACCGCGAGTGGGGCGAAGAGGATGATCTGGAGGATAGAGTTGAGGGCGACAAGCATCGCGCAATAGTCCATATCGCCGGCCGCAAGATCGGTCCAGATGAGCACCTAGAGGATATAATTAGTTTTTGATACATTTTGGTGATATGGTCTCCGGGGATATACCATTGCTATACATCGGGCAATCCCAACGAGTATCAAGCCCTCGCGGAGGTCGCTCCTATCAGGGAGGAAGGCCCACGATAATCCGACCTATTATTTCTGTTAGAAAGGTCTCTTTTCCTCCTGGTAGAGAAAAATAATTTCATACTGACCATTACTACCGGCGCAAGTATCCAATTAGCCAACATGCTGAACCCCACCTGGATCCACAATGCCCTCACTTTGATCAACCCTCCAAGTGACTCGTACCGCACTTTGCACAAGATTGGGTACATCATGACCAGCAGCCCAACGGCTATCGGCACCGAGACCTCCACCGTACCGAACTCCCCCGCAGTCAGTAGAGCTGGTGCCATTTCAGGCACAAAGTACCCCAAGATGATGCCAAGGGCCATTGCCAGGAAGATCCATATCGCCAGGAAACGGTCGAGGAAGGATAACCTCTTGAAGGCACTAAGGGAGCCATCCAGTGGTTCTTGCTGGGTTGAAATTGGAATCCGTATTGTTGAGGAGCCAGCTGGAGTGATACAGCCTTCGTGGGCCTTCTCGGACAGTGTTGGAGTGTTGGATGCCATACCGCGTGTTTCCAACTAGAAGCAAAACGGGAGGACTTAAAAAGCCGGAGCAGCAAGCAGACGTATAAAAAGGAAAGGGGTTTGGCCTGTAGCAGCTGTGTAGAACAGTTCCTAGGGATTCTCCTGCCGGACACGAGATATCAGAAGTGAATGTCACTGGTGACGAAAAGTTTGCCTTCCCGAGAGCATGTCACTGGTATTCGAACAATTGAAAAATATATTGAAATGGCTCGTTCTATCATTTATTATTCTTTAGGGCAGTACTGCTGGGCTAGTACCGTTGAGTTGATGACAGGCTGCCAGGCGCTCATTGGTCAGCAGTGACATTCACACTCAGGTGACAGATCCCCCAATATTATCCCATTGGCTAGAACGAAACCGTAACCGAGAACCGTATCATACCGGTACCAGTACTGTACCTATTTTGTGGCACGTCTGTCATTGATATCTTTCCTTCCCAGGCCTTGCTCAGTTTTGCGGAAATCCTGAGGCTTCCGGCCCCTATTTCGCTGTACTCGAGTACTGTACGGTAGAGTGCTCGACTACCGAATTCAGTTTCCGTTTCCCTGAATTTTCTTGGCATGGAATAAGCATCCGAGAGAACTACAAGTAGTAGTGTTGTTACGGGATGTAAAAACAAATCACCCTTAACATGATGATTTGGAGTAGCGGACAGCTTAGTAATGCGAGACATGCTTCCGGCAAGTACTAGTAGCTGTACTATACTATAAATGCTCCCCCCATCTTCGCACTTCCCCTCACTATCACCAGCGCCAAAATCAACCAAAGCTCTCTCCATCCAATACACCAGTGCCCCTCCAATCCACGGCACCCATTCGACCATGTCTACGCCCGAACAGCCCTGGCACGCTGCATACCCGAAGCCAATCTCAGAGGCGGTCTTCCTTCCCCGCTCCACCGTCCTAGAATGGTTCTCGTCGAACGACAAGCTTCCTGGAAAGTACTTTGTCCTGGTTGACCTTCGCCGTAACGACCATGAAGTTGGTCTCCCCTCTCCCCTACTGACCCCCTAACACATAATGAATAAACAGTACATAGTCCCCCCTGTCTTTTACATAAGCTAATGCTAGCAGGGAGGAACCATCAAAACCTCCATAAACCTTCCCGCTCAGAGCATGCACCCCTCCATCCCAGCACTCTACACCTTATTCTCGTCTGCAGGTGTCTCGGCCATCGTCTTTTACTGTGGTATGTCATAAATTCTCTAGACCCCCGCGCCTGCAATGAGTGGGTGGGTGGCTAACGCAGGAAGATAGGGTCGTCGCAAGGTAGAGGGGCTAGAGCGGCTTCTTGGATGCAGGACTATATTAACGAGAAGGGGGACAGTAATATGAAGGGCTTTGCGCTGGAAGGTGGGGTTAAAGGATGGGTTAAAGCGGGAGGAAAGTTGTTGGAGATGATGGATGAGTACGAGGAGGAGGCTTGGAAGGAACCTGCTAAGAAGCAATAGTACCGCAAAAACTGGAATAATCGGACCCAAGCAAAGGCGTTCAGGGTTTCCTCCTCCGGATTTGGGGAAGGAGAAAAAACACAGCGAAAAAAGCTGCTCTTCAGCCCTCAGATGAGATGAGTGCAGAAAAGACACGACTGACCAACCTCACTAGGAGAGAAAACTCCAATGCCCTTGCCTTAGGTCCAACTATTCCAGCTTTTACGGTACGATCCCCTGATGGCGTATTGGAAGAGTTGAAGGGAATCGGTCGTCTTAAAGGAATAGAGCACCGCGAGAGTTGTGGTCTATTTGCGTAAAGCTAGCGCGAGAAAATACCGTAGCTTATCAAATCAGGATTCTTGCTATCTCTATATTTCCGCCGGCTATTATTGATATATTATGAGTGATATAGTGGAGCTTCCGGCCTCCCTCCCCTTAGACCCAATCCCCATTTCACCACCAAGACCCTTATCAGACGAACCCGCAACCCAACGTGTGCCGCCTATCATATTATCATACTTTAGAAGTGCCCAATTTAATTTTCACTATGATACCAATATACCCGGTTGCACGCTTGAGCTCAGACGCAGCAGTCTTATCCATCACTAATATTCACGCATGAAATCCCAAATACACGAGATTGCGGACGCGCATTAGACAATTCAACCCCAGACCCCGGAACCGGGGCCACCACTACACCCACCCGTATCTCATATCATACCACCATAATATAATCATCTCTTCCCACGACACTTTGAGAATCCAGATAAGCCAGACCCCGCACTATTAACTTTCGATCGCACACAAAAAAAACAGGACCCAAGCTCGAAGATTCACCATGTTCAGTCAGACGTTCTGGGAAAATCCCATACGAGCCCTACAGGCCATCCGCAATCAGGTCATTCCTGCCATCCCTTAAAGAGGCATTCGCGCCGCCGATTTTACTCCAGCCCGGCACTAACACCCCCCCACTCGGGTAAGGCTGGATGCCTCTGCGAGTGATTGTACATGATTGGGAATTGGAAGACTACAGCTAGTCTTCACAGAAGTGGGAATGAATCACGGGAGTTCTCCTATATCCCCTCTTTCGCTAATCCATTTGCGAAAATTGGGAGGGGTGGTGCCCTCCGACAGTATTTTAGGAATATCCAGTGAGACTTCTGCCTCAATCACTGCACCCCCATCCATCTACGGATAAGTAACTCAAAGCATTCATGAACCTCCCAAACAAAATCCAGTATAAAAAAGGGGGGGGGTTAGACCCGTTCGTCCGTCCCTTTTCGCTCCGAACATATACGAGCAGCTCGTGTCCGGTAGGGCAGAGCTCATAGCCTTCCCGGATGCATCATACCCGCTCTTGCAATGCACGCCACGCACATCACCGCCGTGACGCCGCCGGGGACAGCATGATCCCCAACACCGTTAGCGTAGTAGCACTTGTACTTGCGGAGCACGCTTTCGTGGCCTGCCTGGACTTTAAAGGTACAGCCTTCCGGGTTCTAGCGTGGGAGGGGTACAGTACATTGGTGCCGTAGACGCCCATGTTTCTTCAACCCCCGTGTGCAGCGGTTAGGGGTTCTTATACGGTACAGTACCTCGCTTTTAGGCGGTGGCGATGTATAATTTTGGACGTTTTCGTCGACTGGGAAGACCTTGCTGAGCCCTTTTTTTCCCACCGATAATAACATAGTTACGACAGAACCATTTCTCCGGCGCGTTCTATAAACGGGGAGGCAGAACTCATATAGGCCGCAAAAGCGCGGATTATATCCATCCCGATCCATCAGCGAGTAAGTATCATAAGTATGAATTATCTGGGTTGAATCCCCCACACACCCCAAGTAAGGGTGTCGCATAATATCTGAGTTTCCCCCCCCCCGGACTTTTGGAATGTATGATACTTCGTGAATCCTCGGTGGATATATATCTCCGCGCTGATGGACTGGTGGTCGGAATGGAGTACGATACTGTGCCGATATGGCCAACTCTGTCCTTGCCCGGAGTTGGTTGGCAAGGCGTGGTTAACCATTTCAAAAAATGTCCTGTTGATTAGTACAAATTGTCTCTGGCGGGTCTCGCGGGTATTACTGTAAGCTTACTGGTCTTACTGCGCGATCCTGTATAAATTGTCGTCACATACGGGTGGTACAGTACCGGTGTACTGTACTATGGTAGTTGATGGGGAAGTTTGACAACTTGTAAAGTACTGTACCCCTTCTTTAAACATCCATTGCAAGGTATAGTTTCCATTCTTTCTTCCCCTGCCCTGCGAATGCCCTAACTTCATAACACCCTCTTTCCACATAATAATATTATTATGATATTTTGTACCGCACCCGCGGTTCACAGGGGCGGCGGGAAATCTGGGTACATGGGTGGGAAACAATTAACAGGGACTAACAAGGGCATATTTCGCCCGTTAACTTCTAGTAACTGTTCCATAACTTCTTGTCGCATCTTAGTACAGATTGAGATGATGGTTGTTTCAACCACGGATATTGACTACCGATCATTGATCAACTTTTTTGAGCGGAATAAAAACTAGCGTACCGACGCTCGTGCAAGTTACTTGTCCTCGCACGAAATGTCAAGTCTACGGTACCGGTGCTCGAGTTACTGTGTACTGTACCTGCGTACGAACCGTGTTGATAGCGTGGGGCGCGCAGAGTGAGAAAACAAACTCAGTGCACCGTATTATATCACAAGTTATAACACTCCAAGGCGAACGTAGCTCACGTAACACCAAATCCAACGAGAGCCTCAAGAATCATCACTTTGGTAGTGAAACCGAAACATCGCAAAAGGTTCATCCGGCGTTCGGGGGCCCGGAGAGAGAACAAAAGAGGAAACCCTTTTTTTTTTTTTTTTTTTTTTCCCACAGCAAACATGACATAGACTCCTCCTCTCAAGATTTTTTTTTCGCTCAGAAAAAGAAAGAAAGAAAGGACAAAAACATCTTCACTGCAAAACTAACGCTACGAGTACACTATCAAGTTACAAGATAGTTTCCCCGATCCCCGAGGAAGAGCAAGTTGCAGGATGTCTTCCAACTCACCATGCCGACGGCCACGAGGAGAATTTACAGCGCCCGTCAGGATCTGTTTGAACCCCTCGCGGTGCCAATTTTTTTTTTTTACCCTTTGCTGCGCATGAACCGAGTGACAGAGTATCCTCCATAACTTACTACTTCCTCATAATATATCGGTCGGCGATCGTTGGCCTGGTCGGCCGCCCGAAGAGTGGTAACTCACTCAAAGCGAACGAACATAACGTAGTTCTTCAAGCAGCGCTGCCTTCTGCGCCAATCCTTTCTTCCTTTTTTTTCTACCCTTTTACCCCACGGGGCATAACGTGTTGTCCGTGGATCTTCCATTCAATCATTTATTTATTAATTTATTTCTTCTTCCTTCGAGTGATCTTTTACGATGAGGGTCCGAAAGCGGTGCCCTGGATGCCTCTTTGGGGCGCGTTAGGATCCTTTTTTTGATCCTCCCGAGCAAACAACAAGTTCTTCCAGGGGCTGCGCACCATGACCTGGCGCATCGTTGTCGCCCAGCACCCGGCGCATCGTTGTCGCCCAGCACCCGGCGCATCGTTGCCGCCCAGCACCCGGCGCATCGTTGTCGCCCAGCACCCGGTGCATTGTTGTCGCCCAGCACATCATAGCAGCTACCAAATCGCCCATCATTCGGTGTTAAGGGCACTCCACGAGCCTGGCAACAGAAGAAACGTGCCCCTCCGGTATTCCATACAAACCACCACTTTTCATACATGCCTATCAACTCCATAAAAAATTTATTGATAGAGAGCTTAATCCAAAGATTCACATAGTTAAATGTCAGACTATAGGAATGGTTCTGAATTCTGAAAGGCTTATGCTGGGATTACAATGCCACTAGTTTTTGATAATAGTGGTAGTAACTACTTTTGGCAAATCAGGTATCAAAGGGCATCCACTTTAAATCAGCTGACATAAATAAGCCTGCGATACCAGACATGGTGAGTGCGTTCAAATGAATCTCTATTGGATCTTAAATAGGGTAGGGTGTCATGCTACACCTTAATGATAATATTGGAGAAAGGCTAAAATCTCGATAAAAAGAGAACAGAACGAAGGATGCATTTGGGATCGGTCCCCTTATACTTCACTTGACAGGTAGGAGACTTGGAAAATCTTCCCCAATATAAGACATATGATAAGAGAGACAAATAAAAGACCAATGATAGTAAGGAGGGACAAATCTCTCAGCAAACCTGGAACCGTATGAATGATCATACACGCCAACAAGGTAAGAATTAGAAAACCGATTGACCCAACCAGTCTCTGTACCTGCCCCTGGAGAAGCTGACACAGAGTGTGGACTTGTGCATCAAGATCAGCAAGGGCGCCGAACACATCAGTCTGAATCGTCTCCACTGCTCTAGCGATGGCAGCTTTGTCTGGGGTATTCGGCTGGAACGCTTGTATAGAAGGAATCACTGTTGCGCCGGTTGTAAAGTACCCACACTCGGAGCTAAGGTGTAACACTCCTGGGTGTTCCGGATTGATCCCCAATGGGAAGTGTGGACTGTGGGGTGAATGCTGGGAAGTGGGCACAAGCTGTAGTTCAGAATCTCCAGAGGATTCATTGGCGGAGGATTGATTCACAAGGCCATGGGCGTACAGAAATTCCGATTCCGGGATCCAGGAATAGATTCTCAACCCTGTAAGAGCGGGCAAAGTTCTGTGTAGGAAGGAGGGAGAGGACTTCGACTCGGGATCACAATTGCTCTGGCATTGCGGGGGCGTAGAAGGGCATGGAGTCAGAGAAGGGGACATGGGTCCAGAATTGCTCTCACATTCCGAGGGCTTATCCGTAGGGGATACACCTTGGGGTGAAGACATCGGCTGAGAGTCTGAATCGCCTTGAAATTGCAAGTGTGTGGAAGGGAGTCGACTCCAGGAAGGAGACACCGGTGCAGGATCCTCAGGAGATACAAGCTGGGATAGAGGCGGGGTAGAAGACTCATTCATAGGGGAAGGATCGCCCAGAGCCAGGGGCAAATTGCAGCCACCAACAAATTTGGGAGAGAGAATATACAAAGTTGTAGACCTGGAGTAAGAATGGAGCACATGAGACCAGGCCTCGGCTCCAAATAAAGTTGGTGTGGGAATACTCATATGAAGAGAAAGGGGTGTACTCTGAATATTCTGGAGTCCAGAATCGCTCTCACATGCCGAGGACTTATCCGTAGGGGATACAACTTGGGGTAAGGACATCAGCTGAGGGTCCAAATCGCTTTGACATTGCAAGGGCGTAGAAGGGAGTCGAATCCAGGAAGGAGACATGGGT